CACTTCTCAACCTCCAAGTGTTGACTCGCCGATGCTTCACTGTATTTCGCTTCGTTTATGACTTAGTGCTTCGACGCGACAGAGGCACTTAAATAACCTCTTTCCAACACCATGGACCCCTACAACTCTTTTCATTTCCGGCGTACAAAACGCTTTGCGGTTTAATTAGCATAATTTTCCGGATAAGCTAATCATCTACAAAAACACCTGTCGAGGCTAAGGCAAGGATGATTCGACTAAGATGAGAATGATACAAGAAGGAAAACCCTAAGGGGTTGTACTCTAAAGTGTGTACTGTCAAAAGTTAGAAGGAATGAAAGGGAGTTGAACTTGCAGGAATGAGGATACAAATAGCAAAACCCTAGAAGGGTTGTACTCGCTATAGAGCACCCCACTACAAGCTAGAACATAAGATAATATTCTGACATGTACCCCACTATAGCCTACCCAAATCTAAAACATAGATATATGCCTGACACACCCCCATAGGCAAAGTGGGGGAGAACAGAGGGTCACAAGACCTGTCAAGAAATGCAAAGCAAGCTCAGGGTGGATCACAACGTCACCACGCACTCTGGGCACAAGCAAAAAGGCCACAAGGCCAAGTCACATGCAGAGATATATATGAAACAACAAAAGCACAGTGATCTCTACCTATGAGAGCAGGCAGGAAGGTATATATATAAATCACAGTACAAGTAAAGCCTACAGCAAGTGGGGAAGTGTGGGCACAAGGCCTAACAAAGTACAGAAAAGCTGATGATCACCAGGCGGAAGTGCCTTGGTGAATATATCAGCAGTGTTGGCCCGAGTGGCCACGTAAGCAAGACGAAGCTCGCCACGCTGCTGCAACTCTCGAGTAAGGAAGTAACGCAGAGCGATGAACTTTGGTCTGTGCTCCAGTCTGTACTCCTCATACAAGGCAATGGCGGCCTTTTCGTTGACGTACAGCACTTGAGGAAAACGAGGCCGCTCTCCCAAGTCGGTCAGCAGGTAGGTGAGCCAGCGTAACTCCTGTGCAGCCATGGCTGTGGCGTAGATCTCAGCCTCACAACTAGAGCCGAGAACTGAAGACGAGCATGTAGAACGCCAAGAAAAAGAGCCAGAGCCAAGGCTGAAGGTGTAACCCTGTGACGACCGCTGCGTAGCCTGGTTGTCAACCCAAGAGGCGTCCGAGTGACTAGTGAGGACAACGTCACCGCGTCCTCCAAGCACGAGCCCCATGCCCGATGTACGCACAAGTAGCGTAGTACCCTCTTAGCAGCATCCATGTGCACCTTTCGGTGCCGAACAGGAGCCACTTAGCGAGCCAGAAAGCCAAGAGGGTACGCAAGGTCAGTACGAGTTCAGGTCATCAGGTACATGAGGCAGCCCACTAGCTCTAGGTAAGGACCAGTCGGCTCTACCGACTCGTCTGAAGGTGGAGCTGAGAGCGAGTGACCTGTAGCCAGAGGAGTGGCCTGTGCTGAGGACCAGGTGAAGCCGAAGCGCTGAAGGACCTGCTGCACCATGTGTGGCTGAGTCAGTGTGATGGTGCAGCATGCTCTGTACCGGGTGATCTGCAGGCCAAGGTAGTTGCGCAGCTCACCCACGTCTGTGCACGTGTGTCTCTTCTGCAGCTTGGAATTCACGTGGGCTAGTCCAGCAGTGTCAGCAGTAGCAAAGACCAAGTCGTCGACGTACACGAGGATGTAGAACGGCGGCAGCAGGGTGTCGATGCGCAGAAACACCGACGGGTCAACAGTCAACGGGGCAAACCCAAGAGCCGCAAGAGTCATCCTCAGTGTGACGTGCCACTCACGAGGCGCCTGGCAGAGACTGTAGACTGGCCGCCGGAGGCTCCATTGGGTACCAGGAGGGAACGACCCAGTGAAGCCAGGTGGACGGCGCAGCCAGATCTCCTCGTGCAGGCTGCCCTGTAAGAAAGTTGTGCTGAAGTCAAGAGAGTGAAGCTCGTAGTCACGATGAGCGGCAACATGCAGCAGCACCCGAAGAGTGGTCATCTTCGGGGTGGGGGAGAAGGTCTGGAAGAATTCAACTCCCTCTCGCTGACTGAAACCTCAAGCAACGTAACGAGCCTTAAAGACAGGCGGAGAACCTGGCGGTCGCTTCACCCTGAAAATCCACATGCCACTGACGATGTTCGCCCCAGGTGGGGGAACCTCGTTGACGTAGGTGCCTGTGGACTTCCAGGATGCCATCTCTGCGTCCATGGCTGTCTGCCACTGAGAGGACTACTCACCTGCAATCGCCTCAGCGTAAGAGTGCGGGGTCGGGATGTCTCGTGCATCCGGGTCTCCCTCGGGGCAAGTAGCATGGCCACGAGATGAGGCGCAGTGGCTGCAAGACACTCAAGGTCCTCTTGTTTGTCCTCAAGGACGCTCGTGCCAAGAGCACACTCAACCCGACGGACGGAGGACAAACAGACTCAGACTCAGCAACAAGACTAGCAGCGTAGTCCAGACAACAGGCAGCAGCAAAGTCAACAATCTCAGCGACTAAGGCAGACGCAGCAGCAGACTCAAACGACGGGTCGGCGCCAACAGTGGCTAGCAGACGCGTGACAGTAGGGTGCTCAGGACGAAACTGGTCAGACATAGTGTCAGCAACGACAGGTAGAGAGGACGCAGGGGGAGACGGCAGGTGAACACGCGGCGGCGGAGAGGAATGACGACGGACTACAAGGGAAGGGCCGGGGACAGCCGGCTAACGCTGATGAGGAACACGACGATTGGAACAACCAAAGCGGACAGGTGAGAAAGGATGTGACGCAGGCTCACGACGCTCAACAAGGCCCCCTGTCTTCTCAGCGTAAGGAGAAGGAGCAGGCAGAGGTGAGCCAGGCTGTAACGGAAGACCAGTAGACAACGGGAGACTAAGAACGTGGCAAAGCACGGAGTCAGGCGGTGGCAGAGACGACGGAGACGGTGGAGCAAAGAACAGGCGCGGCTGTGCAGTGCCACCAGCACCAGCAGCTCCAGCACCCTCAGCATCTCCAGCACCTCCAGCAGCTCCAGCACCCTAAGCAGCTCCAGCACCTCTAGCAGCTCTAGGACCCTCAGCAGCTCCAGTACCTTCAGGAGCTCCAGTAGCCTCAGCAGCTCCAGCACCTCCAGCAGCTCAAGTACCCTCAGCAGCTCCAGCACCTCCAGCAGCTCCAGCACCCTCACCAGCTCCAGCACCTCCAGCAGCTCCAGTACCCTCAGCACCAGCCCCACCTGGTGCAGCACCCCCAGAGCTGGCACCTCCAGTCCCAGGGTCTCCAACCGCAGTGCCACTAGCAGCAGCACACTCACGCACACCACCGCCTGCTCCAGTACGAGCACCTCCGAGACCAACGACACCAGCACCTCCAGCAGGAAAGGACCAGCACCACTCCCAGCTCCAGTGACGCCAATAGAAGAACCCCCAGCAGTAGAGCCCTGAAGCGCGACGCTGACGGCGACCGTACCAGTTGTGCAGCTGCTAGGAGGTGAGAGGCACACGCGGACGAAGATGGCTACTCCAAAGAGACCGCGTCACAGCAGTCTCAGAACCCTTAGGCGACTCACCCCCGGACTCAGCACCCCCAGGCTCCGCACATGTAGGCGCATCACTGTTAGAAGGAAATGCTGCCATGAGCAACAGAAAGTCTGCGCTGGGATTCGAACTCGTGACCTTCAAATCTGTCGTGAAAGTGTCTTAGGACAGATTCAAGACAGTTTCTGCTAAGGCGCTGATTATGGTGCAAACGAGTTTCGAACTGGAGACCTTTTGATTCAAGTGTCCCGAAAGTGTCTTGTCAAGACAGATTGGGGATAGTTTGGGGACAGATTGGGGACAGTTTGGCTAAATCGATCTCGGGTCACGTTCGGTTTGAAACTCGGCAGCGAAGTGTCGAAGTCAACGGTATTCGCACGGGAGTTTTAGTCGGTGGTCGACGGAATTCTTGTCGCAGAAATTCTCGTCTACGGAATTCCAGTCAATGGAATTTGCTCGGCGAAATTCAAGGCTCCGAATTTCGCGTCGACAAAATTCAACGTGCGACCCGGGTCGACACTTGTGTGCTTTTATTTTGTATTGCGTCCTAGTATAAAACCAGAGAGCACAAACCAGAAATCAACCAAGTCATTAATAATGGTATATTTGTGTGTAACTCTGGCTATAGTGGACCGTTTCCTGCAATCTTTGGTGCATTGGAATCGTGCTTCTGAGCTCTATCAAGCTGCTATAGTAGTGGAATTCTACATGGTATCAGAGCTGCGGTATCTGCATCGATCCAACTAGCGGCTTGATTCTGTCCTCCCATCACTTCGTTCCCTCGTTGGTGTGGCCAACGCTCGTTTTGACTGCGCATGGAGTGGTTAACGAGCGCCGAGGGTTTGAATGCCCGTCAGGAGCTGGAGGCATCCATTCGTTAGCACCACCCTTACTTGCGTTATGAGGAAGTCGGCCTCATTGTGGACGGTCGTCGACTACGCATGGTTTGGGAGCGCGCGGCGGAGCAAGCACCTGCGAGCGGCCAGCAAGGAGGAACCTGTGAAGGAGGAGCTGTGCACGAGGCTCCAAGTGCTGTGGGTGTTGGTGGAGGAGCTCTTGCACCGACCATTGACACAGGAATAATCGAGGCGAGCTACGGTCACTTCAAGTTTAGAGTTGAACACATCTCCGTGACGCCGCTGCTGGAGGGAAGGCATGACCTTACCGCGTGGGTCAGCGCCATCCGACCTCAGCTCCAGTGTGCTGATTTGTGGCAGTTTTGCAACGGGACAGCATCAAGCCCGGCCCCAAACAACTTCTTGCAACGAAGGGAGTACGCAAAGGACCAAATGATTGCATTCATGGTGCTGAACCGATGTGTTTCTCCACCCATCCGAATGTCCATCTCTGGTTTCTCCTAGCAAGAGAAATTCGGGCAGCTAGCATAGGCATATATCTTGTCTACTTATCAAGTTCGTGATGCTCTCCACGCTTCCCTACTTCAGACCCAGTTAGCCCAACTCAGGAAGGGAGATGATGAGATGGCAGAATCCTACTGCAATAGGGCCCGCACCATTCGAGCGGAGCTGCTGACCATTGGACAAGAGGTCCACATGGCCACGTTTGCCGCCCACGTGCTGAAGGGCCTACCACCGGAGTATGGATTTCTTCGCCGCAAGCTCGAAATTTCCAGCCCTGACATGACGATGGAACGCGTGTGCAGCGAGGTGTTGATGGAGGAGCAGACTCTCTCCATCGAACAGAGTTACAAGCAGATCAAAAGAGATGCATCTGCTTTCTCGGGCGCTGTCAACACCACCGTGGCTACAACGGGGATCAACGGGAAGGAAGGAAAAGGGGGAAGGGAGCAGACGGACAAGAAGAAGGATGGCAAGCGGGAGAAGAAGCGAGCCCTCTTCAAGGGGCGCTGCTACAACGGCAATGAGGAGGGGCACATGGCTGCCAAGTGCTCCGATAAGAAGAAAGATACAATGTCCGCGGCAGCCGCGAACGTAGCCGAAGGAGACGGGAAGGGCGTGGCGCTCACCGTCGCGTGTTCGGCTGCAAAGTTGCTGGCCGACGACAAGGACTTGTGGTTCCTTGACTCAGGATGCTCCCAACACATGACCCATCTGCAACGAAATCAGTCAAAGAGTTTGATGGTTCTATACAGGAAGTTGCCGGTGTTGGTGAGGTTTTGCTGGAGGGCACTAACGGCTTGCGTGTGACCCTACATGATGTCCTCTTTGTGCCAAGAATGAAGGCCAACTTGGTCTCCCCTGGGCAGCTCTTGGACAAGGGAGCAAAGCTGCAAACCAAGGAAGGTGCCACTCGCATCATCGCATCAGGAGGTCAAGTGGTTGCAATGGCACGATACCGCCATCGCCTTCACTGCCTTGACCTGAAACCAGGGCCAGCAAGGAACGGTGCAACGGGTGCAGCGGCATGCAATGGCACGGCGGCTGCAATGGCATGCATCGATATGGCGGGTGGAGCGGCGAGCAACGGCACAGGGGTTGCATCGGCATGCAACGGCAAGCAACGGCACGGCGAAGGAGATTGCTGATGTGGCATCAAGCAAGCCGGAAGCTAAAGATGGAGCGGCCAGCCTCAAGATGTACGCGGTGGGCTCCAAGGCAACGCCCAACCTGTGGCACGCTCGCCTTGGACACGTCCACTTCGATGCGGTGAAGCGGACAGCCACGAGCGGTGGCGTGTTCGGTATGGACCTGGAGAAAGGAGGTGAGGATATGCCGTGCACTTCCTGCCATGAAGCCAAACTCACTCGTGAATCATTTCCGCTGCACGACGAACGAGTGGAGCAGGTACTTGGGCTGGTCCATACTGACGTGTGCGGTCCATTTCAGACCCTAGCCATGGATGGAAGCAGGTACTACATTCTTTTTGTCGACCACGCCTCACGTTACACCTAGGGGAATACGTTGAAGCTGAAGAGTGACGTGCTTGCTGCCTTCAAGGAATGGCTTCTCGAAGCTGAACGCCAAACCGGGATGACGCTGAAGGTGTTGCGGTCGGACCGGGGAGGGGAGTTTATGTGGAATGTGTTTCTGTTGCTTCTGAAGCAACGAGGAATTTTACGTCAACTCTCCTGCCCTTCGACCCCCCAGCAAAACGGTGTTGCTGAACGCCACAACCGTACGGTAACCGAGGGCATGCGTGTGATGTTGGGGCACATGGGGGTGAAAGCACACTGGTGGCACTTCGCTTTCCAGCAGTTCTTGTGGGTGGTAAACCGTGTGCACCAATCCACCCTGCCCCATGGTGTGACCCCTCATTTGGTGGTGTTCAAAGTCAAACCCGATGTGTCCACGGTCCGTGTGTTCGGGTGCATGGTGCAGTACCTCATTCCTGAGCATGAGCATGAGAGGAAGCTTGCAAGCAAGACTCTTTGGGGCATTCATTTGGGCATGAGCATGGAAAGTAAGGGATGGCGTGTGGTGGATGTTGAGTCAAAGTGCATGGTCATCACCCGGGATGCACGTTTTTATGAGGACATGTCACTTGAACGGTGGCAGAAATGGCGTGCACGCGTGGGTGGCCGGAATGACCAGCCCACACCACCCTTTGCTTCAGTCCCATCTCTCTTCCCTGAGCCCCACGACCCCAAGCAGAATCCGCCGCCACCACGTACCGTCATCGTGGTCCCAGTACCGTCTGTGCAAGGGGGCGAGAAACCCCTTGAACGCTCGGTGGGCCCTTTGGGCAGCAAGGCACCTACTGCAACTCCTCCTCTTGGTCCACCCTCCATTGCTGATTCGGCGCCCGTAGGACCAGAGGATGGTCCTCTGGAGGTTGACACCAGCATGGCTGATTACGAGGAGGAAGAAGAAGTAGCAGTGGATGAGCAGTCACCAATGGCCCATGAGCATGAGCCTTCACCTGCAGTTCCCCCCTTCCAACCCATTCCACCACCCCCATGTCGCTCCAGCAGGCCTAACAAGGGGGTGCCACCCGTACAGTTTCAACCATTAGCCATGACGGCCCTGGATGCGGATGATGAGGACAACCCGTACGACGTGGCATACCTTGCTGAGGACGAGTGCGACACGGACAGCGATGACGAAGTGGAGTACCCGGACGAGGATGAGGAGGAGGAAGGCGCTTGGGGAGGTGTCATCCTTGACCTAGCAGCTGCGTTGACCGGACCTGAAGGCAAGGAATTGTGGGCTGCTATGAAGGAGGAGATGGAGAGCCTTGATGAGCAAGGCACTTGGACGTTGGCTGACCTACCTGAAGGTCGCAAAACTGTCGGCGTCAAGTGGCTGCTGAAGAAGAAGTTGCGGCCTGATGGCACTGTGGAGAAGTACAAGGCCAGGCTAGTGGCTAGGGGCTTTAGCCAGCGATTCGGCATCGACTACGATGACACTTACACTCCTGTTGGCAGCTACACCACCGTTCGCGTGCTCCTCTCAATCGCAGCAACTATGGACCTGGATTTGCTGCAGCTTGATGTGAAGAATGCATTTCTTCACGGCACCATCGACCACGAGATCTACATGCAGCAGCCGCCTTACTTCACGAACGGTAGCAGCAAGGTGTGCCTCCTGCAGAAGAGCCTTTACGAGCTAAAGCAGAGTCCCCTTCTGTGGTACAAGGAGCTGGACAAGGTGCTCCTTGTGGAGGGGTACAAGAAGAGCCTTGTGGACCAGGCCCTATACTACAAGGATGGGGCAAGCGGGAAGCGCGTGTGGCTGCTAATCTACATGGATGACCTGCTAGCGGCAAGTGAAGACCAACAGCTTCTACAGGACCTGAAGGGGCTGCTGGCCAAGGCGTTTCAGCTCCGTGAGGTGGAGCCAGTGGAGCGCTACCTGGGGCTGCAGATTGAGCAAGATCGCCCCAACAGGACACTCTTACTCCACCAGAATGCGTACGTGGCAAAGGTGCAGCAGCGGTTCTTCAAGGGAGCGCCACCAAAGAAGCAGCCGATCACTCCTCTCTCCTCTGCCAGCTTTGCCAAGCAGGATGCCAGGCAGTTTGCCAACCGTACCATGACCGAGTTCTTGTCAATTCTCGGCATGGTGCAGTTTGCAGCCATCGCAACCCGTCCTAACCTCTCTTTTGCATGCAGTCGCCTTGCAGCAGGTGCACACCTCAGGACCGATGCGCATTGGCATGAGCTCTTCCGCACACTCTCCTATTGGGCTGCCTCACCGGACAAGGGAGGACCAGAGAGTTTGACTCTCGTAGGGTATGCGGATGCGGATGATGCAGGCGACGAGGAGAACCGGTCGTCCACGGGAGGCTACCTCTTCAAGCTTGGCGGAGCTGCCGTTTCATGGCAGGCCAAGAAGCTACACGGTGCAACCAAACTTTCCTCCACCGAGAGCGAGCTTGTGGCTGCGGTGGAAGCGGGAAAGGAGGGGCGCAAGCTAAGGTTCCTGCTGTGGGAGTTTCAACTGCTCAAGAAGGCTGTCCCCACCACCCTGTACGTCGACAACATGTCAGCGGTGCAGCTCAGCCAGGCGAGCAGGCTGCAGAGGCGCATGAAGCATGTGGACCGTCGCCACATGTGGCTACAGGACATGGTGCGCATGAAGAAGTTGAAGGTGCAGCACATCCCTACATCGGCGCAGCCCGCGGACTTCTTCACGAAGCGGCTCGAGAAGGCAGCCTTCAACCAATGTTGTGCAGTAGCCGGGCTGGTCCAGCGTGCTCCTGACAGCAAGGGGGCGTGTTAGAAGGAAATGCTGCCATGAGCAACAGAAAGTCTGCGCTGGGATTCGAACTCGTGACCTTCAAATCTGTCCTGAATGTGTCTCAGGACATATTCAGGACAGTTTCTGCTAAGGCGCTGGTTATGGTGCACACGAGTTCCGAACTGGAGACCTTTTGATTCAAGTGTCCTAGAAGTGTCTTGTCAGGACAGATTGGGGATAGTTTGGGGACAGATTGGGGACAGTTTGGCGAAATCGATCTCGGGTCGCGTTCGGTTTGAAACTCGGCAGCAAAGTGTCGAAGTCAACGGAATTCGCACGGGAGTTACAGTCAGTGGTCGACGGAATTCTTGTCGCGGAAATTCTCGTCTACGGAATTATAGTCAATGGAATTCACTCGGCAAGATTCAAGGCTCCAAATTTCGCGTCGACGAAATTCAACGTGCGACCCGGGTTGACACTAAGGAAAATAGAACGAGAATGGATTGACTACGAACGAGGTGAGTACAAATAGGAAACCCTAATTGGGTTGTACCCCCTATGGGATACCCCACTATAGCCTACACAAACAAGTAAGCTATAAATGTTCTGACACACCCCCATAGGCAAAGTGGGGGAGAACAAGGGGTCACAAGACCAGTCAAGCAAAGCAAAGCAAAGCTCAGGGTGGATCACAAAGTCACCACACAGTCCGAGCACAAGAGCAAGGCCACAAGGCCAGTTCACATGCAGGAGTACACACATATATATATAAAGCTAGACAAGCAAGAGCAGGTATATATATGTGACAGTACAAGTAAAGTCAAGAGGAGAGCAAGTGAGGCAAGACAGGCACAAGACCCAGCTGGGTGCAGAAGCGCTGATGGTCACAAGGCGCGAGTGCCTTGGTGAACACATCAGCAGTGTTGGCCTCAGAGGCCACGTACGCAAGCCGCAACTGTCCACGCTGCTGTAGCTCACGAGCAAGGAAGTAGCGAAGAGCAATGTGCTTCGTTCTGTGCTCCAGACGCTGCTCTCGACACAAGGCCAGCATGGCCTTGTTGTCTACGTACAGCACTGGAGGAGAACGAGGCGGCTCTCCAAGGTCAGTCAGCAGGTAGGTGAGCCACCGGAGCTCCTGTGCAGCCATGGCCCCTGCGTAGATCTCAGCCTCACAACTCGAGCTGAGAACCGAAGACGAGCGAGTAGCCCGCCACGAGACAGAGCCGGAGCCAAGGCTGAAGGTGTAACCCTGTGACGACCGCTGCGTAGCCTGGTCGTCAGCCCAAGAAGCGTCCGCGTGACCTGTAAGTACCACTGGACTCCGCCCTCCAAGCACTAGCCCCATGCCCGACGTACTGCACAGGTAGCGCAATACCCTCTTCGCTGCAGCCATGTGCTCTTGTCGGTGTCTCCCAGGAGCAACATAGCGTGCAAGAATGCTAAGAGGGTATGCAAGGTCAGGTCGTGTGCAGGTCATCAGGTACATGAGGCAGCCAACAAGCTCTGGGTACGGGCCACTCGACTCTACGGACTCATCCAAAGGCAGAGCTGAGAGCGAGTGACGAGTAGACAGAGGAGTGGCCTGAGGCGAGGAGTACGTGAAGCCGAAGCGCTGAAGGACCTGCTGCACCATGTGTGACTGAGTCAAGGTAATGGTGCGGCGTGCTCTGTCCCGAGTGATCTGCAAGCCAAGGTAGCTGCGCAGTTCACCCAGGTCTGTGCACGTGTGTCTCTTCAGCAGCTCGGACTTCACGTAGGCGAGTCCAGCAGTGTCCGCTGTGGCAAAGGACCAAGTCGTCGACGTACACGAGGATGTAGAACGGCGGCAGTGAAGTGTCGGTGCGCAGAAACAGCGACGGGTCAGCAGTAGAAGGAGCAAACCCAAGGGCCGCAAGCGTAGTCCTCAGTGTGTCGTGCCACTCACGTGGTGCCTGGCGGAGACCGTAGACTGGCCGTCGGAGGCTCCACTGGGTGCCAGGAGGGAAAGTCCCAGTGAAGCCAGGTGGACGGCGCCGCCAGATCTCCTCGTGCAGGCTCCCCTGCAAGAACGCAGTACTGAAGTCAAGAGAGTGAAGCTCGTAGTCGCGCTGAGCGGCTATGTGCAGCAGCACCCGAAGAGTGGTCATCTTCGGGGTGGGAGAGAAGGTCTGAAAGTAGTCAACTCCCTGCCGCTGACTGAAGCCACGAGCGACGTACCGCGCCTTGAAGACAGGTGGAGAGCCCGGCGGCCGCTTCACCCTGAAGATCCACATGCCACTGACGATGTTCGCCCCAGGAGGGGGAACCGCGTCAACGTAGGTGCCTGTGGACTTCCAGGAAGCCATCTCTGCATCCATAGCTGCCTGCCACTGAGAGGAGTAGGGACCCTCTACGGCTTCCGCGTAAGAGCGCGGAGTCGGGATGTCAAGTGCATCCGGGTCTCCCTCAGGAGCAAGCAGTACAGACGCGAGATGAGGTGAAGCAGCAGCCAGACACTGGAACTCCTCCTGCCTGTCCTCTAGGACGTCCGTGCCAAGAGCACACTCACCCCCGACGGACGGAGGTCAGACAGACTCAGACTCAGCAACAAGACTAGCAGCGTAGTCTAGACGGCAGCGAGCAGCAAAGTCGACGAGCTCAGCGACAAGAGCAGACGCAGCAGCGGACTCAAAAGAGGGGTCAGTGACGACAGTAGCAAGCAGACGCGTGACAGTAGGACTGGCAGCACGAAGGGAGTCCGACTCTGGGTCGGTAAGCACAGGAAGGGAGGACTCAGGAGGAGAAGGCAAAAGGGCACGCAGAGGAGCAGTGGACGGACGCAGAGACATCCGGTGCGTGCCAGGGACAGGAGGAGGACGCGGACGCGAACCACGACCACTAGCGCGGGCAGCACGAACAGGCGACGCGGGACGAGACGCAGGCTCACGACGCTCAACAAGACCTCCAGTAGGACCAGTGTAAGGAGAGGGAGCAGGCAGTGGGGAGGTAGGCTCCAACAGTGACTGCGACGGGACAGGCTCTGGACACTCTACCGGAGGAGAAAGACCAAGAACCTGCTGCAGAAGCGGAACGAAGTACGGCCGAGGCCGCGCGGCAGCTCCTGACTCAGCAGGGACAGCACCAGCACCCTCAGCGGCAGCACCAGCGCCACCAACACCTCCAACGGCAGGACCTCCAGCAGCACCAGCAGCAGAACCACCGGCAGGACAGACAGCAGCAGACTCAGCACCAACGCCCTCAGCAGCCCCAGCTCCAGTAGGACCCGCAGGCGTAGCACCTCCGGGACCGGCGGCACCAGTACCCTCGACGGTCGAAGAAGCTCTAGCTCCAGCAGTACGCCTCCAGCGGCGAGCAAACCACTCGCGTAGCTCCTGCGGAGAGAGGGGCTCCCGCCGAGGCGCAGCACCAGGAGAAACCTCAGGCTCAGCGGCTCCAGACGTAGCACCCCCAGGCTCAGCAGCTCCAGACTCAGCACCCCCAGGCTCAGCAGCTCCAGACTCAGCACCCCCAGGCTCAGCAGCTCCAGACTCAGCACCCCCAAGCTCAGCAGCTCCAGCTCCAGTAGGACCCGCAGGCCCAGCAGCTCCGGGACCGGCAGCACCAGCACCCTCAGCAGTCGAAGGAGCTCCAGCTCCAGCAGCACGCCTCCAGCGGCGAGCAAACCACTCGCGCAGCTCCTGTGGAGAGAGCGGCTCCCGCCGAGACAGAGCAACTGGAGAGCCCCCAGGTCCAGCAGTCGCAGGCTCCGCACCTCCAGGCTCAGCACCCCCAGGCTCAGCAGCTCCGCACGTAGCACCTCCCAGCTCAGCACCCCCAGCAGCAGCACCCCCAAGCTCAGCACCCCCCGGCCTCGCACCCCCACGCTCAGCACCCCCAGCAGCAGCACCCCCAAGCTCAGCACCCGCAGGCGTAGCACCCCCAGACTCTGCACCCGCAGCAGGACCAGACTCAGCAGCAACCTCGACTGGCTCGACTGTGTCTACCTGGGACACACCTGAAGGGGCAGGAACCTGAGGGGGGAGGGGGTCTACCGGGGGGGGAGCTGGCACCAGGAAGTCCGGTGGGGGGGGGAGGGAAGGAGTACGGTAGGGGAAGAGGCGGTAGAAGGGGACTGACTCGTCGAACGTGACGTCCTGGGAGGACAGAACACGACGAGAGGAGGGGTGGTAGAACTGCCACCCTGGAGCGTCAGGGGGGAAGCCAAGGAAGACACAGGGAGCAGCACGGGGGGACAGCTTGTCCGCAGACAAGTCGCGGACAAACGCCCGAGATCCCCAGACACGGAACGCAGACGCATCGTTGACCTTCCCCGTCCACAGTAACACTGGGGACATCGCGGGCCGAGAGACCCTGGGGTGAAGGTTGAGCTGATGCGCCGCGTACCGAACCGCAAACGGCCACAGAAAATGGGGGGCAGCCGCATGCATCATGGACGTACGAGCGACATCCATGACCATGCCAATGCGGCGCTCAGCAATCCCATTTTGCTGTGGAGAGTCCGGAAGCGTAAAGGTCTGGCGGATCCCCTGTGCACGACAGTAGTCTCGCAGAAGGCGAGAGGAGAACTCCCCACCTCGGTCAGAGTGCAGACGCAGAACAGGAAAGTCCGAGCCGAAGCTCCTCCTGAGCTGGAGACGAGCCTCGCGGATCCAGTCGATCACCACCTCAGTGACAACACCCTTGCTGCGCAAGGGGAAGACTGTGGTGTAACGCGAGTAGTCGTCAACCACCAACAGGAAGTAGCGCTCGTGACCCTGCCCACGGACGGGGGCCGGGCCCCACACGTCCATGTGAAGTGTCTGCAGAGGAGCCTCTGTCGGGGGAAACTGGGAGGAGTGAGGAGCAGCCCTGAGGCGCCCCTCGACACAGGGGACACAGGAAGGTCCTGGTCCCGAAGGAAGGGGAGGGAGAGACTGGGGAAGACCAGAGACAAGGACACGGGAAGCCATGCCCCGAAGACGGGGCAAGGAGGGGTGGCCGAGACGGTGGTGCCACAGGAGAGTCTCGTGAGACAGGAGGCGATACGAACAAGGGGCAGACCCAGGACCAGACCTGGACGCAGCAGCAAACACCTGACCTGACGCAGCTACCTGACCGGACGCAGGGACAGGAGGAGACTCAGTGGTCAGGGTGTAGAGGCTCGACCCCGGCCGACGCGAGAACGTGGCCAGGTGCCGGCCTGTGCGTGCGTCCGTGCAGTGGGTCACCCGCTGACTCGCAGGAGTGAACTGGTGAACCCCCGCATCCTGCAGGTCTGCACCACTCACCAAGTTCGTCGAGAACGAGGGGAGGTACAGGCCAGACAGGGTGCCCGAGGGGGCAGCCGGACACGGGAGGACAGTGGAAAAGTGAGCTAGGACAGGACCCCCAGAGGGGTCAGCCAGGGAGACTGCAACAGGCCGATTAAGCGGCGTGAGTGTGGTGCGGTCCCGAAAGAAGGAGCGAGAAGCCCCAGAGTCAAGTGTAAAGGTGAGGGAGGCCGAAGCCAACGTGGTACCTGAGAGCGCAGCCTCACCCGCACCTGAGGAAGCAGACTCACTAGCACCTAGAGCAGCAGCCGCACCTGTACCTGGAGCAGGAGACTCACTAGCACCCAGAGCAGCAGCAGCCTCACCACTAGCTAGAGCAGCAGGTCCTATACCCGGGTCAGGCGGTACGCCCAGGTGACCGGCACGGTCAGCACTAGTAGGCAATGCATACATGGCAGTGAGAATAGCATCATAGTCAAGAGCAAATATATCTACCCTCTGCCTAAGCAACTCCACCCAGTCGGGGAGCTCAGCCTCGTCGCCAAACACGGTACGCCAGGCGTCGCTCAGACGGGCGAAGCAGCAGGACGGTGTATGACTAGGTGTCCCACAAGGCTGACCAGTCCGAGCACCAGTGAGAATCACGTAAGAGCAGCGAACAGAACTGAGAGACCCTCTACTCTGAGCGTACCACTCACGAAGCTGCTGAGGCGTGAGAGACGCGCGGGGGGGTCGCGGGAGCTGCATCTGGCCGCCACCAGTAGTAGAAGCAGCAGGAGTGGTAGCAGTAGTAGCGCCACCACCCCTACAGCCCCAACCAGCGTACCACTCACGCAGCTGCTGGGGCGTGAGGGACTCACGCAGACGTCGATGGGGCTGCATCTGGCTCCACCAGTAGAGGCAGGAGCAGGAGTAGCAGCAGTAAGGCAGGCAGCCAGGCAAGCCAAAAAGGGAGGCAGGCAGGCAAGCAGGCGACGCGCAGCGTGCTAGCAAGGCAGGGGCTCACCAGTGGTGGGTAGAGTAGGCTCGGCGACTCAGCGGCTCGGCAGCACGGCGGCTCTGCGGCTCGGGCGACTCGGGCGGCTCGGCGGCAGAGCGGCTCGGCAGCAACTGTAGCTCGGCAGCTCGGCGACCCGGCGGCGCGGCTGTAGGGCGGCTCGGCTACTGGGAGGCTCGGGTGTAGAGCGGCTCGGCTGCAGGGCGGCTCGGCTGCTGGGAGGCTCGAGTGTAGAGCGGCTCGGCGGCGAGGCGGCTCGGCTGCAGGGCGGCTCGAGACGAAGGAGGAGGAGAAGGAGGGGAGACCGCAAGCGGCCCCCTCAGGTCGCCTCGACAGGCGACGGGAAAAGGGGGGGGGGGGGGGGGGGGGGGGGAGGCGGCTCGGGCGGCTCGGGCGGCTCAGGCGGCTCGGGCAGCTCGGGCAGTCAGCGGCACAGGCGGCTCGGGCGGCTCGGCTCCTCAGCTGCGCAGACGGCTCGGGCGGCTCAGGCTGCACGGTGGCTAACGGGCGGCGTGGGGGGGGGGCCGGGACGGCGGCGTGCAGCAGGGACGGGCGGCGCACGGGCGGTGTGAGGCCGGGACGGGTGAGGGGCCAGGACGGGGGGCGTCCTGGCGCCGAGGGGCCGAGACGGGCGCGCGCGGGTGGCTAGGGGCCGGTACGAGCGGCGCGCGAGCGGCTAGGGGCCGGGACGGGCGGCGCGCGGGCGGCTAAGGGCCGGGACGGGCGGCGCGCGGGCGGCTAGGGGCCTGAACGGGCGGCGCGCGAGCGGCTAAGGGGCCGGAACGGGCGGCGCGCGAGCGGCTAGGGGCCGGGACGTGCGGCGCGCGGGCGGCTAGGGGCCTGAACGGGCGGCGCGCGAGCGGCTAGGGGCCGGGACGGGCGGCGCGCGGGCGGCTAAGGGCCGGAACAGGCGGCGCGCGAGCGGCTAGGGGCCGGAACGGGCGCGCGCGGGCAGCTAGGGGGCCGCAGGGCAGGCCGAAAGAGTGAGAGCGAGGGCCCGGAGCGCGCTCCGGGCAGAAAAAAAAAAAAGGTTTAAAAGTGGTGGGCCCTAAGCACAGTTCCCACGGAGGAACCTGCTCGATACCATGAGGAAAATAGAACGAGAATGGATTGACTACGAACGAGGTGAGTACAAATAGGAAACCCTAATTGGGTTGTACCCCCTATGGGATACCCCACTATAGCCTACACAAACAAGTAAGATATAAATGTTCTGACAGACACTTTTTTGTGTGCTTTTATTTTGTATTGCGTCCTAGTATAAAACCAGAGAGCACAAACCAGAAATCAACCAAGTCATTATCACTGCTATGTTTGTGTGTAACTATGGCTATAGTGGACCGTTTCGTGCAATCTTTGGTACGTTGGAATCGTGCTTCTAAGCTCTATCAAGCTGCTACAGTAGTGGAATTCTACAAGCACCCTCAGACGCAACACCCCCAGGCGCAGCACCCCCAGACGCAACACCCCCAAGCTCCTCACGTGCAGGCTCAGCATCTCCAGGCTCCTCACGCGCAGGCTCAGCACCTCCAGGCTCCGCACCCTCAGGCTCCTCACGCTCAGCGCCCCCAGACTCACCACCCCCACGCCGCGCACCCCCAAGCTCCGCACCCCCAAGGACAGCACCACTCCCAGCAGGACCGGAGTCACCAGTGACCTCAACAGGCACAGGGACGTGAGGGTCTTCCTGAGAAACACCTGAAGGAGCAGGACCTGGCGCGGGGAGGGGGTCTACTTGGGGAGGACCTGGGGCGAGAAAGAGCGGCAGGAGGGGGCGAGGAGCAGTGCGGTAGGAAGAGGCGGTAAAAGGGGACCGACTCGTCAAAGGTGACGTCCTAAGATGCAAAGACATGGCGCGAGGCGGGGTCGTAAAACTGCCAGCCAGGCGCGTCAGAGACAAAGCCAAGGAAGACGCAAGGAATGGCGCGAGGGGAGAGTTTGTCCGCAGTGGTATCGCGGACAAACGCACGAGCACCCTAGATCCGGAAATGCGACGCGTTGCCGTCTACAGCAGTGTGGGCGAGGTCTCCGACAAGGAGATACGGGGCCAGGGGTTGAGCTGATGCGCACCGCAAACGGCCACAGAAAATGGGGGGCGGCCGCATGGATCATGGAGGTACGAGCGACCTCCATGACTAAGCCAATGCGGCGCTCACCAGCCCCATTCTGCTGCGGAGAGGCCGGAAGCGTGAAAGTCTGGCGAATGTCATGCTCCGCACAGAAGGCCGCCAAGAGGTCTGAGGAGAACTCACCACATCTATCACGGTGCAGACGTAGGGCAGGAAAGTTCGACTGGAACCGCTCGCCGAGCTGGAGACGAGCAGCGCGGATCCAGGGGATCATAACATCAGGGACATCCCCCTTGCGCTACAAGGGGAAGACCGTGGTGTAACGCGTGTAGTTGTCGATAACCAGCAGGAAGTACCGCTCGTGGCCCAGTCCACGGACGCGGGCTGGGCCCCACACGTCTAGGTGGAGAGTCTGCAGTGGAGCCTCTGTGGGAGGGAACAAGGAGGAGTGAGGAGCGGCGCGCTGCCGCCCCTCGACGCAAGGAATGCAGGGAGGCGCAGGCGAGGGAGGGAGGGTAGGCAGAGACCTGGGAAGACCAGAGACCAGGAAGCGAGAGTGCATGCTACGAAGGCGAGGCAGGGAGGGGTGGCCAAGGCGGTGGTGCCACCGGAGAGTGTCGTGCGTCAGTCGGCGACACTCACACTGGGTAGCTACCTGAGCAGACGCGTGCAGCTGGGGAGACAAAGGGGCGGAGTGCGACATAGTGGTGAGGGTGTACAGACTGGACCCTGGCGTACGAGTGAACGTGGCCAGGTGGCGGCCGGTCCTGGAGCACGTGCAAATTGCCACACGCTGCCGGCCAGGGGTGAAGGTGTCAACCCCTGCATCCTGGAGGACAGTGTTGCTCACCAAGTTTGTAGAGAAGGAGGGGAGGTGGAGACCAGACAGCTCACCAGACGGGACCGCCGGACACGGAAGCACGGTAGAAGACCGTGCAAGTACTGGGCCCCTAGAGGGGTCAGCTAGTGAGACAGGAACAGGTGCAGGGAGGGGAGTGACTGTGGTATTGTCGCGAAAGAAACAGCGGGAAGCACCAGAGTCAAGTGTAAAGGTGTGTAAGGCCTGTGCAGGCGCAGTACCAAGGGGAGCAGACTCACAAGCACCTAGTGCTGCAGGCGCTATACCAGGGGCTATACCAGGGTCCAGTGGCACACACAAGTAACAATCACCCTCAGCACTAACAGACAATGCATACATAGCAGCAAGAATAGCCTCATAGTCAAGATCAAAAGATAGGTACATCACGCCTAAGCAGGTCTGCCCAGTTGGGGAACTCAGGAGCATTAAGAAACTTGACGCGCGAGGCGTCGCTAAGTCGAGCGAAGCAGCGCTCCTCAGTGTGAAACCGTGTGCACTGGCGACCAGCGTGGGGACCTGTGCGAATGATATAGGGGCAGCGACCAAGACCCCCAGAAGCCCCACGCCCGGCATACCAGTCAAGAAGCTGCTGAGAAGTGGGGGTCTAGCACTGACGCTGCTGTTGCTGCTGCTGCGACTGCTGCTGGCCCTGACCACCACTGCCACAACCGCTCCCTCCTCCCCCACCGCCGCTGCTGCCACTTCCACCGCTCCCAGTGCCTCCGCCGCCCCCACCACCACCTCCACCCCCACGACCACCTCCACCACCTCCACCTCCCCCGCCGCCTCCACCACCGCCACCTCCACCGCCACCCCCACCTCCCCTGCCACCCTTGCCGCCCCTGCCGCTGCGACGCTTCCCACTAGGAGCGGAAGCAGCCCCGACCTCCTCAGCACCAAGGTAGTCGTGAGCAGCAGCTGCGAAGGCGTAGGAGGGGGTGAGAGGGGAGGGGGAGCACTCCTCAAAGAGGGGAGAGCGAGGAGTGCCACAAGCAGCACCTACAGCGACGATCTTCTTCTCTGCTGAGAGGAGGTGCTTCTCAAAGTCGTCGACAGTGAGAGTGGTGGGGTCTAGCGCTAGGAAGTGGTCCCTGACGGAGCTAAGAGTGTCAGGAAGGCGGGTGACGAGGAAATAGAGAGTGAAATACATCGGGGAGGGGGGGGGGGGGGGGGGGGGGGGTTGCGGCGCAGAACTCGGCTGAAAGGGTGGCACGAAAGCGAGTGACAGTAGTGCGCAGGTGGGAAATGAGGTCCTCAATAGTGGTGAACGAGGAAAGGTCGGGGAACAGGTAGGGTAGCATGAGCCGACCTATAGCTGCAGTGGCCGGGGAGGAGTAGCGCGCAACTACAGCGTCGTACAGCGCCTTAGTAGTTTTTGTGCTGGCTGAAATGTGCGCGCTCAGTAATCGGCAGATGGTTCCTAATAGCTAGGCGTGCAGCAGCATCGCGAGTCTGCCACTGCGAGCGTTCGAGAGCAGGAGCAACGGCAGTGCCAAACACATAATCGAGCAGTGAAACGCCCTCTTTGGCATCGGTCAGAAGGAACAGTTGGAGGTCGTCTAACCACACAGCGAACTCTATGGGGCGACCGTCAAGCTCGAACGCGAGAACGTTAGGCGTCGTCATGATGGCAGCAGGCAAAGGCAGTAGGCAGCAGGCAGCAGACAAGAGGCAGTAGGCACCAGGCCGCAAGCAAGGACAGAGGCAGCAGGCAGGAAGCAGTAGGCAGTAGGCAGCAGGCATTAGCGGCTGCATGCGAGCTCCTAAAGCAGCGCGCTAGGTAGCAGCGGGCCGCGCAGGCAGCCGACGTGACGCGCGGGCGGCGGACGCGGCGCGCAGCGCGGCGGTGGGCCGCGCTGGCGACAGACGCGGCGCGAGGGGCGACGGCGGGCTGCACGCGACGGCGGGCTGCGCGTGGCAGCGGGCTGCGCTGGCTCCACGCGGGCTGCGCGGGCGA